TTTGAATGCAAGTGAGAAACCAAAAGTAGAATGAATTAATTAAATGAATGTTAGTAGAATGCTCTCTGACAAGTTTTTTCTTTTTAAAGTAATGAATTCTGATTATGATTGTGAATTAGTTTCTTTTTTTAATTTACATGTGCCCATGCGTACCCGAAATAGAGGTCTTTTAAACCCACCTTTTAGTCGTGTTGATGTTACATGTAGAGGTTTATTTATACGTTTATGTGATTGTTATAGTAAGTTTTGTATGTCTAATATTGATATTGTTATCTATTTTACTGTTGTATTTAAATCTAAAGTTGTTAGTACATTTTAATGTATTTGTAAGCCTATATCTAATTACATAAATATTTTATATGTATTTTAACCTGTTAGTGGCGGTTGTTATCGCTGTTGGTTAGTACGAATAAATAAAAATAAATAAAGTATAGACCATCTAAATACGCGAGGTGCGACTGAGGGGCACAGCTTAGGCCTGCCATTATAAATTGAACACCACGGAATCCTTTCATAGGCCTACTTCCTGATTCATTCACCCGTTCACTGACGATAAATGTAGGCCTAAAGCAAGGGTTTTCATCGAGGCTCGAGATCTTTACAATTAAATTTAACCATGGAAATGAACTTCGTGTTTGCATAAGGTTTACGTTAGATACATATTGACAGATATCAATCGTGGGCGTGTATTTATTACTGTATGTTACATACTATATATATTTCTGTCATATATACACATTTAGGATAGTATAATACATACTCCAATTATTAAATTTGTTTCTGTATATTGTTCAAATTTCCTATATTGTGCTTAAGGCGATTATCATGAATTATGAAACTTTAAAGCCAAGATAGGTGGATACAGTCTTATACCATGGACCTATTAATAATGCTTTTTTTCTGTTCAGAAACTAAAAAGCAAGCGATCGCTTGTTGCGGCCTATTCAAGATAGAATTATTCATGTTTGATAAACATTCTAGGCATATGGGGACGATACTCATACCAACCATATGGTATATTAATCAATTTGGTTTATGGACCATGCTTCGTCATTCGTCTTCTAACACGATTGCGGCAATGTTTTATGTGGTAACTTTGTTTCTAAATGAATATTAGTGTATGTCGTGGGCCAGTATAGGAAAAATTATAATTCTTCTTTGAGTTGTACCCGATAGAGCGACGCCTCGCGCTAGGTGCCGTGTTAATTTATAAGGCCTATGCACATACGTCAACCCGAGATAGTTTGCTCTTTCGCTCATCGTGGTCAGTGTTATCGAATGAGAAAACGAGGAAATGAATGTAAAATTGCGTGTATTTAGGCCTAGACACGAAGCGCAAGCTTCAGGGGCCTTCTCATGGACTACTGTCCGACCTACACATACGCGGTTAAAACGAAATCAGTTCTTCTTTTCTCAACTAAAAAATACGCTATATTATAAGTTGCCCTGCTGGTCTTGAAATTTTCCTTGTAAATGGCCCGGTAAAATACTTAAGTATGATGTGACTACTTCGTCATATGTTGAAATGAAACAACCAACGAACTTGTACAGTACGTATATTTCTTGTTTATCTGACATTGAATGATAAAGATACCACGTGATGATAAACGCTGCGGCACGTTTTCAAATAGCAAAGTATCCTTCGATAATGTAAGCAAAACTGACGCCATGTTATTTTTTTTTAATTCTCTTGCGAGAGTTTCTATATCGCAATACTGTAGTAAAAGGCATAAACTGAACAAAGGCGCGGACTGAAGCGGGTTCGCTTCGTCTCTAATAAGACTTGGACTTCGTTAGATTCCCTTCCGCACCTTTATCGAATCTCCGCTTTAAACAGTTTTGTTGTTTTTTTAATAGTGGTATTTATATTGCGTGCTGTATGCCTATGAAGTAAACGTGTGCGCTGAATGTGTATGGCTTACTTCGGTTGTTTATAATTAAAAACATATCAATAGAATTAAGCCTATCATTCTCGTCATCATTATTATCATCATCTCATCATCATAATCATCGTCATCCACATCGTCATTATCGTCATATCATCTTCATCACAATCTTCGTCACATCTTCGCCATCATCATCATCATCATCATCATCATCATCATCATCATCATCATCATCATCAGTATCATCAACATCATCATCATCATTACATCGTAATTATCATCGACAAATCATGTCATCATCGTCACCATCATCGTCGCCTATTTTATTTGTATTACTGTATAGTAGGTCTATTAGACTTTTATTATTTTTATTGTTAGGCCTATATATTTATTATTATTAATATTATTGCTGATATTGACCGAAAGGTCCACTGATTAATCTCAAGATAGTATAATACATACTCCAAGTATCGAAATGCACGCCATCGTGTCGGGATTCAATATTTCGACATTAATGTCATCATCACGAAAGGAATTGCTGATATTGTTATTATAATTTATTGCCTCTTAAAAAATAGTCGTGAGAAAACTTCATCTGCATTTCAACCGCGGAATATACGTAACGGTAGCGCATACAAACCACCACTCTACCTCGACGTGGTATAGGCCTATGGCGGTTTTGACGATCTATCCTGTCGATGCAATCCACATACACTCACTAATCCCGCCTTAAACACTTTAAATATTCTGTATCAAGTACTTGCTTGTTCGACTCAACTTGATTTATTTCTTTCATTATGATAATGATGGGCCCTAGGTTTTTCGGCGCCATCTTCTATATTATTTTTGCTTATGTTGTTATAGGACACCAGGCGATGATGCAACATAAACGATACTTACCATACGACATCGATTTGTTTTTTTAAAGAATTACTTTATTTAGTGTTCAGTATAAAATGAAACATACCGTATGTTTCAGGGGCTCGCTTCACGAAAAATCTTATTCAACACGAAAAGGTCAATTTAATACCAAAAATAACAAATCCGTGGTAAGGTACGGTAGTGGTATTCTGGTGTAGGTGGTGTTCTGGTGTGGTAGTGTGTTCTAGTGGTGGTGGTATTTTGGTGGTGATAGTGGTGTTCTGGTGGTAGTGCCCTCATCGGTGGTTGTGTTGTTCTGTGGAATAGAATTCACATAGGCAGGTTAAAATGGCTGAAACGATGCACTTAAACGCAAACTCGCGCATTATGGAAAAAAAACATTTTTGATACCGGTATGTTGTACATCTGATTTTTCTAAGACAAAACCATATTTGACGAAAAACTTCGGAGCGGTTAATGAGCTACAGTTTTTGAATATTTGAAAACTGTGGAAAAAAGTCTGGTACGCCCGGTTTTTCCACCAGTTTTAAATATTCAGAAATCTGTACCGTATCTCATTAACCGCTCCCGAGTTTTTCTTTAAATGTGGTTTTTGTGTGTCGTAGAAAAATGAGTTGTACAACATATCCGGTGGTGGATCCAGGAATTTGAAATAAGAGGAGGCGCAGAGAGGGATGTTTCACAGATGGAGGGTCTGTACTACGTCAGCCCCAACCATTGTAATTTATGATTATGGTATCTCTTGATGGCCGGAAATGGCACTATTAGACTCAAAATTTGAGTAGAATTTTCTTTTTTGCTCATTTTTTTTATTTTGAAAAATTTAGGGAGGTGCTCCCCGACT